CACAGACTCCGGATACACGTCATTGGTGGACCGTTCCAGCCAATCAGATACAATGCAGAGAAGAGCAGTATGACGCAAGATGTGATGCAATGTGATTGGTGGAAACTAAGGTAGCCAATGATCTTTTCCTGTGTACATATATATTCACTTTCATTTCCTTCAATAGACGACTTTGTGATTCGCCTGTCTTGTGGCCTTTTTCCTCGCGTCTCGATCCTGCGGGTTATTGCGAGTTCGAGCCATTGCGGTCCCGTGCCATCGGTTTTCTAATTCGTGTTCCGTGATTCCCATTGCGTAGTTCGTGTCCGGAATTCTGTGCGTAACATCACTACTACTACTTGCATTATCTTTACACCATGTGACCCAGACTCCTGGTTACGGTTTTCATACCCTATTTGCAGGTCTTAGATTGACCACCCTTGATTTTCTTTCACCCACTTCCTGTGTCGGCGAACTTCGCTCGCCGTGGCAACCTACCTAGGATATTCATAACACATGCCCCAATCAACGTAATCTATGGAGGTTGACAACTTGCTCCAGTGGCGACCGCATTTACCTGAATCTCTGTGACTAAACTCAGCATGGCTCTTCTAGCTGACCCACCGGATTCGTGCAATGCTGCGTAGACAGCGGTGTTAGAACACCGACAGTCTATCTTTATCCTGTTTCCTTAACGGCCAAGTTTCTGCGCCATATAGCAGAACTGGTCGAACTGACGCAGCATACACTCGACCCTTCACAGACAGCCGGATGTCGCGACGTTGCCACAGATGTCTAAAGTTAGCACATGCCAACCGAGCTTCCTGTATGCGAGGTGACACTTCATCCGTGTTGCGTCCATCGGGTGAGATATAGCTGCCCAGATAGCAAAAGTTGTCTACTTGCTCTATTGCTTACCCGGTTAAGGTGAAACTGGGTGTTGGACCAACCCAGTCTTGCAGTTGCATTTTACACTTTGAAGGTGCAACACGCATACCAAACCTCGTTACACTAGCACTCAAACTATCCAGAAAGGCTTCAAACTTACCAGGATCTTCCGTTAGCAACACAATGACGTCTGCATACTCCAGATCAGACAGCCTGCCACCTGGGAGTAAATCGATACCCCTATCCTAACACGAGGATAGGGCTGTTTCTGTAATCAGATCTATAACAAAGTTAAATAGAAAAGGAGAGAGGGCAACTCTGTCGAACACCACTTTCCGTGGTGAACTCGGGTGAAAACGTGCCGTAAGCTCGGACTCGACTTCGGTTATTAGTATAAAGGGATTGTGATATTGGTCGATTAAGTGAACAGTAATTGTGATTTCCCATTATAAATCATGATAAAATACTTACTTTTGTCATCGAAAAACATTTGATTGATAAAAGTTCATCCACTCTTTGTTCTAGTGCACGCAAATAGAGCATCAGGTTTTCCTCAGTCACATCTTCCCCTTCAGAACCGACACGTTCTTTGATTTTTTTCACATCACAGCCCAACTTGATTGTCAAATGTTTCACCTGGGATTTCACCTGATCAATAATCTTGTGAATTTGTGTTGTCCGTAATTCGTCCGCATCTGCCGCTTCTTTGTCCGCATTCATTTGACGCTGGATTGTTGTTGTTGTTAGATTTAATCAGAGGTGACCAATGGGCACTTACTTCCAACTGATGCATAATGGCGTGTTTCTCTGCCTCGACATTTTCTTTCGACTTATTGCAGGCTTTCATTGACTCTTGTAATTTAGCCATTTCTTCGTTCAAATCCTCAATCTGATAACAAATAGAAAATCCCGAATAATTTTATTTTTGTACCTGATTATTTAACTCCGTCACATAGTTAAATATGGTGAAATTGTCTTCCTCTTTTCGACGATAGATGCGCAATATAGTCTCCACCTCTTCCGTTTCTGTGATTTCCTGTATTCTATGCATAGCATCAGTGTACTCCTCGATCTTCTTTTGTTGTTGTTTTCTTGCTATTTCACCGTCTGCACCTGTCAAAAAGTTGGGAAGCAGTAAAAAGTTAAGATGATTGACAACACTTTGAAATTGAGACAACTAGAGTAAAAAATAGCATTTTTGCTGGAATTTTCATAAGAAACATGGAAGAAGCAAATTAATGTTTCGCTACAGAATCGTATGGTAAGCTTTCACATTTGTCCCTCGGCCTACCGAGGATGAGCTCAACTTATAGATTTCTTGAATGTTGTGTTTTTCTGCCAGCTGTAATTAGGAGATGACGGCAAAACTTACTGCTTGTAGGCAGGAAAAATGTTTTATGCGTACAGAAAACCCTTCCCATAATGAAATAAGCAAACCATACCACAAATCTACCGGCAATTTTCGACTGGTTTTCCGAAACTCTGTATCATGAAAATTAGGAATCGATAGCAAACCAGTGCGATGAAACGTCTTCTCTCCTGCTACCATATGATTAGGAGACCGCAAAGACCAGCACAAAAAGTGTTTACAGCAGAAGTTTCAATTTCAGTTTTTACAACCATTGACCATGCACTTTCATGCGCCGGTTTTGTTTACTGTTTTTTGGCCTCCCATTTGGATAAAAGAGCAGGAAGAAGATTGGAATGTCGAAAGGAAATTCAAGGGGAAGATAGAGAATTCACATATGTTGATATGGTATGATGTGATATGACATGATATGATATGATATAATGAGTAGGTGCATGAGTGCCACTGTTCGCGACACCCAGCCATCTCTCAGTGTCTCTTACCATCGGTGACCATCATCTCAGGGTCCCCAGCCAGGGAGTCTAACGGGACCTATATGACCCAGACTCCTCGTCTTCGTTTGACAGCCCTTGACTTTTTTCAACTGCTAACTGCCTCGACAAACATCACTCGCCGTGACAACCCACCTGGTGACACGCGTAACACGGCCAAACCAACATAATCTATGGAGGTCGAACACTTGCTTCAGTGGACGACCGCGACTATCTAAAACTCTACGCCTAACCTCAGCATTGCTCGTTCGGTTACCCCACCAGATTCGTGCAATGCGACGTAGACAGCGGTGTTCGAACACCGACAATCTATTCATATCCTGTTCCCGTAGTGGCTAAGTCTCTGCACGTAGAGCAGCACTCATCGAACTCCTGCAGCATATACTCGGCCCTTTACAGACAGCCCCTTAGTAATTGATAGAAGAAAACTATCCGTTAGCATTAGGCTGGAAAGCAGATAGATTAAGATCGGTTTGCTTCGTTTTGCTAACGAATACTCCAAATGCAAGTCAATCTGCGAAAATAACTGGACATCTGTACTTATAGTTGGGCCTGCGAGAAGTAAAACATTAGGTTCAAACTATCAACAATAATGGACAAAGATCATTGATATAAGTAATAACGAAAAGCAAAGAGTCAGGTGGTTTCTGGTTTTCCATTATTGAAAATACAGTCGTAGGAGAACTAGATGATCTGGTATAAGCTAACACCACCTGTTTATTCGAATATATGAAGCCTGTGCAAAGCTTTTATTAGCTTCGCAAGCTCTGTTACTGCCTTCTGTATGCACTTTTCACTAACAGAGTGCAAGATGTTACTACAAGATCCCCTGTCGACTATCCTAAAATTAAAATTCAACGACCGGGAATACATGGTGTTACACTGGTCCTTTGGTCAAAAGTACTCCTGCTTTGTTTTCAGTGCAACCGCTAGCCGTATTAGTTTCATTCGCAAGCCAACATCCCTAATTGGTGCGATGATGATGACCTCATGCACAGCTTATATGATCACAAGAAAAGCCCCGATTCTCACCATGCTTCTGTCGACGCTTTTCAGCCTCCCGTTTCCACTCTAATCGTTCGTCTGATTTAATGGTCATGAATTTGTACAATTGCTCATCGTGGTCTATTATGCGCTTTAGTTCGCGCACTTCGGCCTCGTAAGCAGCATTGTCCTTCTCGTTTTTCTCTGCCAGAGCCAGGCGTTTGTTTTTGGCATCATCACTGCAAGACAGAACACGTGGCATGTTATCTTTATGCAATTACCGATGATCGTAAGCGATTGTGGCAAGCTGTGTCACTTTGGTTTTCCGTTTGTTTATTTCATCCAGTTTTTCCGACAGCTTTTTATGCAAAGCCATATAGTTTTTTCGTTGATTGCGTAACTTCTCAATTTCATGCTTCAGTTCCTCATTTTGTGCCAACGTGTCACAAAATTTGGCCGTTTTCTAAACCAAATGTAAACTCAAGGTTAGTTCATGACTTACAGTATGCAAGTTAGTTTCCATGGTGGATGTTTTACGTTCGATTTGCCATTTCAATTCACCGGTCTCCGCTTCCAGCCGCATTTGTTCGCGTCTCTCTCGCTGCTTCTCACGAATCATCTTCTCGTACTTTCGCATCTGAATGTTTCCATTGCGAAATAGTTTCAAATCACGATTGCTTCAATACTCACCTCCGCATCCAGACGTTCATTATATCGTTTGACCTCTTCTATTTGTTCGTTCAAAGCATCCTGTTCAGACAAAATGTTCTTCAGAATTTCAATGGCTTTCATATCTTTCTTCCTATTTTGTTCACTGTTGATCAGAGTCAACCACGTTTGCAACTCTTCGTTCTCTTTCTCCAACATATCTATTTCATGGCTGTCAGAGAGCAAGGTAAATTACGCATAGCAGTCACCTACTTGTATCTGCCCATTTTCACATTTGTTTCCTCAGAGTGTTTTTGTCTTTCATTTTGAATAATCCGTAACTGATGCTGAAGTCGTTCGTACTCTTCCAGAAGAATCACATCGGTACCCTCATCGGTTTCTGTTTGTGCAGATGAAGGCCGTGGCATTTTGTACAATAAAGAGCTGAAATGGATGGAATGTGAAACAGGTCATCCGACTTGGAAATATTTGCACGATTCCAGTGTTGAGAAAACAATTTAATTCCAAAGACGAATCACTTTTAAAAAGCAATTCTTAGTGATGTCTCTAAATTAAATAAGTGCAGTAACCTCTACTAAGCGCATTAATTTAATGAGTAATCCATTGCAAATCTAAAATGGTCTCAGTTATTTTGGCTAATCCGGTTTGGGCTAATAGTGGTACTGAATACATTTGGAATATTTAATGAGTGCCTGTTGTCTATCCCATTTACTTTGCTGGTTATCGCGAATTTTATTGAGCGACATCAGAAAAATACCCTTCTTGCTTACGATGCAAAAGCTAGTGTTGCTCTTGTTCTTTTTGTTCTCTGTATTTTTTCCCACTTCGTTCCTCTTTTATGCCTGAATCTACCTTTACCATGAACATTGATGTTGCGCTGACCCCCTTGGTCTCCTCGCAAACCTATACATTGATTTCTGGGAGCACCGAGGCATTACGTTCATGTCATTCCCAGACGAAATTAAGCGGCATCTCAAGTAGAAAATAGCGATGAAGGACATATATAATCCGAGCTATGTACTCCAATAGCAAATTCTTCAGTTTTTACAAGGGATCGTACATCCTAATAACATAGTGTTTCATGAAACCGTTTCTTCACTAAAATTAAATCATCTTTCATCACATATGATGGGCTATACTAGGGATCTTATGCATAGACCATAAATTGTTTTCACTATTTCGTTGATTTTGTCGTTTCATTCTGTCCAACGAATTTTCCGGTCCCCGGGGCTTTTGTCACTAATTCCACTGTTATGTATGGCAATCCTTCTAGCCCCAGGCATACGCCATATTACTCCGTTTTCACTTGCCACCCCGAAAGATCAGAGGATGTTTTCTTTAGAAACCGTTTCAAAATCTCACAGTTGTTTGATTACCAAAAGAATGTCAGTGACTTTTTTCCACAGCAATGATGCTACCAAAAATCTGCAGACCCTGGAAATCATAATTTAATAATCCGACAATGAATTACATCTGACTTTGGTCACCTTTGATGTTTTTGACTGAAACTGTCAACATGAATTGGATAATCGACATAACTGGAATATTTCTATCTGATTCACTAGAACCGTTCCAGCATTTATTTTTTGCGAGTACTGATATTCGTGAAGATTCCGTTATTTCACTATCTTATTTCTTTCTGTGAACTTGTGAACTCATTGTTTTAATTTTCAACCACAATAACGTTGTTTATGTATCAACAGTTTGTGAAAAAGCACAGTGACAACAACTGAACAATAATGTTAGAAATGGAGGGATTTGAGTAAAAATGAGAACGATGCAGAAAAACTATTATAAAGAAAAAGAAAAGCAGTGGTGTTTTATTTGTTTGCTTCACGGTAAATCATCTTCAATGGCTTGAAAATGTGCGATGCATTCCTGCTCACTATCATACCTATTATGTGTCGTTTACGACTGCTGAAGAAAGCTAGCTTAGTGTCAGCCACTAAGACTTGGCATAGGGGTCAAAAGATGTTAACAAAAACATCATTTTTCCTGTTCAAATTCCTGGTTAAGTATCGACGAATAGTGGATATTGTTTATTAGAGAGGCACAGGGTTTTGACCAATTTACTTCCGTAAGTTCTCTCAATTGTTCACTGATATAATTTTTCACCTTTCTTCCCGGCGTTTATTTGAGAACCGTCTACATGAATCAGTCTCACATCCATAATTATTCAATTTGACGTTATCACCCTTCGTTTATCAGATCGTGCTTTGCTGTATTTCTTACTTTACATCCTCTCTTACTGGTCCAGCTACTTCGAGCTAGTCACTTATTCAATATAATTCTACTTTGCATCTGGTAAAAGATCAAATGTAACAAGTACGAGATGCTTATTTAATTTTTTCTGGCTTTGCTTGGTCATACAATACGATAAGGCTAACCAATATAGTCTCACTACTGTCCATTCTGCTGTGGATAACCCAACGTCTGGAAACCCGTATTGAGCCATCCTCACTTATAGCTGATTTTTCCTGTACTCCAATTCGTCTGATATATTTTCATCCCTCTCAAACCCCTCAAATGGTTCAGAAACCTGAACAACAATTCTTTTCACCGGTATTTACAATCAAATATCTGATTTTCCACCACCGACTGGCAGGACAA